CTCTCGTCTGACTTCAATTGGCCATTTCTAGAGACGTTTAACATTTAATCAGATGTTAAGCACCATGAAGTTTGGCTTGAACCATGGCGGTCGAAAGAGCAAGAAGTAATAAAGTTCAGTCACAGGCAGTTTTTTCCTAATAACCTGTTCAGGTGACCATCTAATTACAGCTCTCCTTCAATGGCATTCGTTGTTATTATTTCAATATGCTATTCTTTGCTCTCATCTCATTGACACTGGGGTAAATCAGGAGTAGCTCCATTAAAGTCAATGGAGTTACTGCAGGTTTGCGTAGCTGTAACAGACCAGAATCTGGTTCCAGGTGAACCCTTCCAAGGTCACATGTCTAGAAAGTAGTCAGAGCTACTTGGTGCCAATCCAAAAATAAATACTCCTCCCAGGGCCTGATTCTCCACTGCTGGCACTTTATGGAGTCATCTTCCCCTTTGCAAAATGCTACCGAGTCAGGATGGGGAGTATTTTATACCCGCTGGGCCCAGGAGTAAACAACAACAGAAGGCTCTGTGTTTTTAATCTTCAAAGCATGTGACAGATATGAACTAGCTCAGGGGGTCTCAACCCCCAAACATCAGCACTCCTAACTAAAATACCCTTCCCATATCACTAAATAGATCCCGGTTAGATATACTCCTGGGGGGATTTTGTGTCACTGCGCGTGCGCGGAATTCATGGCCCCCGCAGATTTCTTTGCTTTCCCGCAGAAAAATGACTTCTGACAGGGAAGCAAAGGGAAGCCACAAGAGTGGTCAAGCACCCCTCCCTGGCAGCACAGGCAGGTCGATTTGGGCACTCAGAGCAGCTGGTAGAGATGTAAATCACTGCCGGGGCGGGGGGGAAGGAAAGCTGGGCAGTCATGCATGTGAGAGAGAGAGAGAGAGACACTCTGTCCCTCTCACTCACTACTGTGGCACACTCAGTGTGGTGGGGCAGGGCTTTGGGGTGTTTCTGAGGAGGTAGGCATGGGGCAGGCTCTGTCCCCTCAGGCAGAGCAGAATGTAGTAGCCTGCCTGCTTAGTGAATTGTTCCCATTGTCTTTGTGAATTTCCCCAGGAGTATAAAACAGATGTAAAAGTTTTAAGGCTCCTTTACATTGCCAGAGGGGTGTAAAGGACAGTATGGCCTTATAAATGCTTATGGTGCTTTAGTGTTTAGTCTACATTTTTGGACTGAAGAATTTTCTTATCAAAATATGCTCCATGAACTGTTTACTACTGACCTTCCTGGAGATGGTCAGTAGCCAATATAAATCACGAGTTTGATTCCCCAGTCTTCACTTGCTCTTCAGTTGCCGGTGATGTAACACTGAGCATATGGCTGCATATATTTGTTGACTAATAACTAGAAGAAAAGGATCAATACTAGCTATATTACCATTAGACAGAGGGGGGTTGGGGATTTCTTCCAATGCTCCCCACTCCTATTCTCCATCCATTGTATTGTAGTTTAAATAATTGAAACTGGAGTGATTATATTGTGTTATTTTGACAAATAAAATATGCAGAATTTTGTACAATTTTAAAATTTTGGTGCAGAATTCCCCCAGGAGTAGTAAATGGGGGAAGAGTCCAGGTACAGAAAAAGCAGAGAATCACCAATCTTCAGAACACCCCTCTGAGGTGGGTATTATCACTCCCATCTAAAACATGGGGAAAGTGAGGCACAGGGACTTGGCTGAATACCATGCAAGGAAACCACTTCCACAGCTAGGAATAGAACTCAGGGTTCCTGGCTCCCAGGTTTGTACTCAGCCTGCTAGGCCATGCTTCCACAGAGGCTGTTGCGTGAAGGTCATTATTTTAGGAAACAACCGTAGTTGCCATCAACTGAAAAATCTTTTCAATGGACAATTTTTAAACAAGCTGGGGCGTGAGGGCTATGTGCGCATTCTGGCAAATTGTAGCCTATTTTTTTTCCTTATTTTTTTCCTATTTGAAAGTCAAAGAAAACCATTGGAAGTTCCCCAGGCTGCACATCAATCCAGCTGGCAGCTGAACCTCCAACCTGCTGCAGAATTTCTCCTCTTAATTACCTCAGCTCTTCCCTTCCTCTCTTCCTTCCTCTCACTAATTGTTCCCCCTTATTTTTATGAAGGCGCAGTCTAGGGTCTCACGTACAATCCCCAAGGTACAAGCACATCGTAAGCACGCAGTCCCTGCCCCCAAAGAGCTTACAGTCTACAGAGGCAAGATAGACAAAGGTTGCAAGGGGAAGGAGAGGTACAGAGAGGGAAAATGGCTTCTCAAACTCCCACAGGGGGAGAGCCAGGATTAGAACTCACGTCTCCTGAGTGCTGGTCTCGTGCCTTACTCAGTAGATTATGCTGCTTCCCGAGAATAGACAGGAAAGGTCAATAAAGGGAACAGGCTATTAATGAAATTACAGTGGTCACTATTCAATAGCTAACAAGCACACAGTGGGTTCTGAGACACTACAGACAACCCTGAGGCCTAGAATGTGGAATTGCTACAGTATCTTAGATACCACCCTCTGGTAATGCTGGTCAGATGCTGACTTTTAAAAGGTGTCCTGGAAAGGAGGGAAAAAAAATTCAGGTGCTGCACCTCCTCCCCCTTTCATATATTTAGTTATAAATATGAGAACTGAATAAAGTTATGAGACCATGCTGCCTTCAAAACTAACTAGGGCCAGGAGTCCTGGATTCTAATTCTGGCTCTGCCAATGTCTTGTTGGGTGACCTCTGGCAAGTCATTTCACTTCTTTGTGCCTCTACTTGCTGGTTCCCTTTGTCCATCTTTTCTGTTCCAGGTGCAAGCTCTTTACTACAGTGCCTTGCACAATGGGGCTCTCAACTTGGCAGATAGGCCTCCAGGCCATCCCCGTGAACATCTGCCCCAATTTGGTCGAGTTATGAACCCCTGAAAAGTCTCAGTAGGTATATGCTCAGTAGAGATTTGTTAGCGTTTGGCAGCCAGATTCTCCCAGTGCAGCCTGTACTGTGTATGCGCCATCCCAGGGTCATGGGAACCGAGTAGGACTTTCCTGGCCCTTGCTCCTCTTAGCAACCTTGTTGTAGCCCCAAGTATGGGAACTGAAAGTAGGGAGCCTGAGAACCCGGATGAGACAACGTCCCCCTGCTGATGCCCAGGCAGTGAGGAGGAGGAAGAGGAGGAAGCAGCCTGACTGGCTTGCAGAAGGGTGAGGAGCCAACGCGGGGTTGGCACTGGGACATGGAGGCAGTATAGGATGGGGCAAGAGACTGGGATGAGGAGCTGAGCGGGGAGGGGAAGAGAGGAAGACTAGAACTGACACAAGGAGAGGCTGTCATGGACAGAAGGGGCCAGGGGCTAGAGGGTCTATGGGAACTTGAGCACACCTCACATCAGAACTCAGAGTAGAACCCTGGATTTCTAAGTCTCAACATTCCTCTGTCGTCAGCAAATGGCTGATAAATTCCCCGAGCACCATATGTCTGACATACTGAACGAGGCAGGAGCTCTGTGGAAGACATAGAATGTGGCGCTTAGATTTTCAGGCTAAGAAGGGACATTGAATCATCTAGTCCGACCTTCCATATAACACACGTCAGAGAATTTCACCCAGTTAACCCAGCAGTGAACCCTATCACTTCTGTCTGACTACAGATACTTTCCAGAAAGGCATCCAGGCTGGATCTGAAGACAGTGAGAGATGGAGAATCCATTACCTGCCTTGGCAGTTTGTTCCAATGGCTTTTCACCCTCACTGTTAAAAAATGGTGCATTGTATCTTGAATGCATCTGGCTTTAACTTTCAGCCACTTCTTGTTCTGCCTTCCTCTGCTAAGTTAATAGCCCTTTGCTACCCAGTGTTTTCTCCCTGTGAAGGTACTTCTGCTCTATAATCAAGTCACCTCCCAATCCTCTTTTTGATCAGCTAAACAGATTAATCTCTTTAAGGCATTTTGTCCCATTTTTGTGGCTCTTCCCTGCATCCTCTCCAAGTTGGCCACATACTTTTAAAAAAGATATGGGCCTCAAAACTGTACAGCGTTTTCTAAGGTTGGCCTCACCCGTGCCGCATGCCGAGGTAAAATCTCCTGGCTGCTCTTACTCACTACTCCCATTTCCACATCCCAGTTTGGCATTAGCCTTTTTTCGCCACAGCGTCACACTGGAAGCTCACGTGGAGCTGCTTGTCCACTCTGATCCCTAAATCCTTTCAGAGTCGCTGCTTTCCAGAATACAGGCCCCCGTTCTGTAGCTATGGATTCCTGCATTCCTTCTTCCTAGATGCATGGCCTTTCATTCGCTGTAGTAGAAGGCCTTTTGTTTGAATTGGCCCAGCTTACCAAGTGACCCAGACCAAGGCCTGTCCTCATCACTATTTCCCCTTGCACCTATCTTGGTGTTCACTCATTTTATCAACAATAGCAGTCATGTAAGTAAAGACGGTACGATCATGCGCACGCACAAGGAGACTGAGTTATGGTTGCATGGGCAGCCTTAATTAGGGCATTTCCTAACTTTGCAACCTTAGTGCAGTTGTGTGTGTGTGTGAGAGAGATATTTTTACTTTGGCAGGGTCTCTCCAAAGTAATATGTACATCTTAAGAAAATGCATTCACTGAACTCAGCGTATCCCCCACTGAAGCCACCAATGCCCTGAACATTGTAGAAGGAAACATTTCATGGGCTTCCTAATTGCCTTAATCACAGACAAGTGCATCCAGGAAGTACTGAGGCCCCAATAGCCTTCTTAATCTAAATAGCGTAAATGGGATCGTTCCAATTTATATATGCAATTTACTATGAGCTATGCCTCAAGAGGCCACAGAGCACGGGTCTCGACTCTGCAAAGTGCAGGGCACTTCTTGTGAAATGGTGAGAATTTGACTTGACTTATCCCCCTTTATTCCATGTGGAACACAAAGCCTTCACCACCACCTCCCATTTTGGGTAATCTCCGGCTGCAGTTTTAGCTTCTTCCCATGTCACTTTAATAGCTTTCAGCTGTGCGTTTCCAAGTTGTCCTAGACTTACCTCATTGCCTCTTGCCCTGGGGATTCCAGTCCACCGCCTATCTTGTTAGGTTGTTCAGTTCCTTGCTCCCTGTCTCTGCCAGCCATTTCCATTTTCGATCCGTAATCTCCTGTTCCATCAACTTCTGTTTTGTGCTCCTTACCGCCAAAGCGCTTCATTTGTGATTTTTTCTGGCCATCTGATGTTGAGGGTTGTCTAAGGCAGCTATGTATAAACACACGGCGTTTGGACACTATCATTTTGATAAGTCTCCGAGTTTCAGCACCATACAGTAAGACAGACTTTAGAGGGGTGTTAAATATTCAAAGTTTACTTTGGATGGCAAGGTTTCGGTTTCTCCCAATTGGCTTTAGGCTTGAGAAGACATGTCTGGCTTTAATGTCTTCCTCTCTTCCACCTGTTTTGCTTACGCTGCTGCCAAGATACGTGAAGCATCTGACCTCTTCTACATCAACTCCAGAAAGTGTTATTGGTGTTTCTTGTGTCTCAATGCTCATGGTTTTAATTTTCTGTATTGATTTTCAGCCCTACGAACTGTGCAGAGGTCTGGAGATCATTTGTTTTAGCTTGCATATCTGTGGGGGCATGGGACAGCAGGTTGACATTCTCTGCAAAATCGAGGTCTTTTAGGCCACGTCTACACTACCCGCCGGATCGGCGAGTAGTAATCGATCTATCGGGGATCGATTTATCATGTCTCGTCTAGACGTGATAAATCGATCCCCGAATCGACGCCTGTACTCCACCTTGGCAGGAGGAGTAAGTGGAGTTGACGGGGGAGCCGCGGCAGTCGACTTGCCACCGTGAGGACGGCCAGGTAAGTAGAACTAAGATACTTCGACTTCAGCTATGCGAATAGCGTAGCTGAAGTTGCGTATCTTAGATCGATCCCCCCCCAGTGTAGACTAGCCCTTAGCTTCCAAATGGAAGTCCATTAGTTGCTCTATGATCTCTCCCCAATCCATTACCAGGAGGAGGTCATGGATAGAACACTCTTGTCTGATGCTGGCAGTTACTCCAAATGGCAATGTCTTTTATTGGACCAACTTCTGTTTTGAGCTAGTCTCTCGCACCAACAGAAGTCGGTCCAATAAAAGATGTTACCGCGCCCGCCTTGTCTCTCTAATATCCTGGGCCAACATGGCTACAACAACACTGCACATGTCAAATGGCTTAGTCAGTTTACTGCTATGTATTACTTGACATTTCATAGTTTCAAGGAAGTCTGAATAATATTCACAAATTTCTGGGGGATTCCACAGTGGCATAGCAACTGCCATAAAACTGTTCTAGCCACTGTGTCAAGGGTTTTTTGGAAATCTATGAAATTCACATAGAGCGGTGGCTGCCCGTCGATAGACAGTGGACACAAAGGGTTACTATTTGAATTATGCAGGATTTCTCCTGTCTGAACCCTGCCTGGGTTTGCCGTAGCCTAGAATTGACTGCGTTTTTCAGCGCATCCTAATGCACAGAGCACTAGACTGGGATTCAAGAGATCTGGGTTCTACTCCCAGCTCTGACCTGCTGGGTGACCTTGGACAAGTCACTTGTCCTCAGTTCTCTGCCTCAGTTGCCCCTTCTGTAAAATGGGGATAATGATAGCGCCCTCCTTTGTAAAGTGCTCTAAAGTTCTAAGGATGATAAGAACTAGGTGGAGAGGAATGGGCTCTGCATACTTCAGGATTAGGCCCATGCATAACAAGGGAATGGGAGTGACAGATAGATAGAAAGTGACTTGAAGATTCAACCCCTAAAAACATTTATACGAATAGTGAGAACATACAGTTACATGAGATAGTGGACAGTATTTTCTGAAGTGCCTAAGCAACTCAGACACTCAAAGGGTTTAAATCAATAGGAGTTAGGTGTCTAAATATCTTTGTGGATCTGAGCCCAGAAGCTCGAGTATCCATGGGGTTTGGACTCCTAAGTGCCGGAGTCACTTTTGAAAATGAGGCTTAGGGTGTTTTTGAAAATTTTACCCAGTTTTAAATGTTTTCACAAGGGAACAAACCCCTCATGCTTCAGGGCTTCAGCCCAGCACTAGCCGAACAGGGTTAGGAAGAAACTTCCCCTATGAACCCATTGTTCCATAATTGCCCTCTTTACACGTGGGAAACTGAGGCACAGAGCCACTAAGGGACTTGGCCAAGGTACATATTTGTGGCACAGCAGTAACTGAGCCAGGGCATCCAGTGGTTGGAGCACTAGGCTGGGCCACAGGGCTATCCCTGCTCTAGCTGTTGGAGACCAGACACAGAGCTAGATGGACCCCTGGTCTGGCCCAGCATGGCAATTCTTATGTTCCCAAATAATGCTCCTTGCCTGTGTTTTTGTCAAAGATTTGACAGGCCTTGGCCTCTGGAGGCTCCCTCAAAGTTTTACTGAAAAAAATAAACTTGGGATACTTGGGAATTTGGCAGCTTTCGTTAGTGCCCAAAATAAAAAGTTCATCCATGTCAGTACATTCCGGGGAGAATTGTACAGTCTGCCCAGCCCTTGGTTTATGGATTTCAGATTGCCCTGGTTTTACTCTTGTGTTGAAGGTGTTTGATTCTGAGAACCAAAGTCTCAGGCTTTTAACAGCCTCGTGAACCAGGTGCTTTGCGCGCCGAACTCCTACAACCTGAATTCTTTTCCACATCAGGCAGTGTCACTCAGGCGATGCCTCCAGGTTACGCTGGCAGGCTGGCTTCTTTGTACTTCTCTTTACAAGTGTCTCCAGCAAGTTTTGTTTTATCTTCCTGCAGCTTTTATTTGTTGCAATGCCATTCTTTGCTTAGATCCCACAGACTTCGTGAGAGCAGGAGCGCTCACATGGTACCGTATAGTCAGCCCGTGTGAATTGCTGTAGCTTCACTGAAGTCAATTGAAGCATCAATGGTTTACACCAGATGAGAATCTGGCCCATAGTATCTAACTTTTCTTTGACATGCGAGCCACTGAGATCTATAACACAGAGCGATTCTAGAACATGCAATAGGAACTTCGCAAGAAGTTACAAGAGCAAACATCGGAAAGAAGCCGGTGATAAACAAGTCAATGTGGGAGCAAGGTTTTAATCTTAGATGCACCCACTTTAAATCCAGAGGAATTCCACTGACTTCAGTGGCGTTTCTCTGGATTTGCACCAATATCCCAGGTCAGATTCTGGCCCCATATGCCGATTGAGAGGGCAGAACTGATTCTGATCTCAATGATGCTGGTGAAAATCTGGTGTAACTCCAGTAACATCAAAGCTGTAATTGAAGTGTGAACTCAGAACTAGTTCTGATGGGGCCAAACTCTTACCTGGTGTAAGTTAGCATCACGCTGTTGATTTTAATGGAAGCACATCCATTTACATTCAGCCCCATGTGTGTCTGAAAAATGGCTGGTTGTGGAGTAAATGCTCTGGACAACATTCATCTGTGGTGTAAATCTGGAGTGACTCCAGTGGAGTCACTCCAGATTTACTGCTGCGTGTGTCTAGGGACAAACCAAATCCAGGGGCTCACTCTGCTATGCACTATACAAATGCAGAGTGATTGGTGGGTCACCAACTCCGCTCAGGACCTACACAGAGCACAGTTCCTTGGAAAAGTGAGGAAGGACAGTGTGATAATTCAGAATAAATTCTTTCCTCCGGGCAGGCTGCCTGGAGGCCTGCCAAAGTCTGGCGATTATGAGAAGGAATTCTCCATGAGTGGTTGCTATTCACCAATTCCAGATTTTATTACAACAATAGCAACATTTAAAAAAAAAATCTCTCTCTTCTTCCCCATGGAAAACAAAGAATCTTAAAAAAACCAACAGCAATATTTCCAAGTCTCAACATTCCAAACTAATGAGACTGCTTAAAAATCGTGAGTTTTATTTTTTTTAGAAAAATCAATACATTTTGGATTCTTTCCATTTCCCTCCAGCTTTCTGAGCCTTTATGGTACATTGGCAGAGCCTCTTGCATACTCTAGCGTGACCAGGGACAGCTGATGGTCAGCCTGGTACCCGTGCCAGTGGGAGGGGCTGGGGGCGGTACAGCCAGGCCAGAGGAGCTGCCCACATAGGGCGCCGGATCTTGCGAGCGGCGGCCCGACATGCTGCTGCTTTCAGTTCCCAGTAGATCCCTGTGGCTCCGCGGATATCCGATTTATATCCACATCCGCGGATATAAATTTTGTCTCCGTGCCGGACTCTATACATGTTTTCAAGCTTTTCTTGAACCATGAGGGCTAGAAACTTCTCTTCCCTTCCCTCCCACCTCCACAGAAAGCTGAGATTCTCAGGTAACACCATGACTCCAGCAGCTGAGACTTTAAGAAAAACACCAAGGACTGCAAGACTCACAGTAAATTCATGAGTGTTGACCACACTGGGCTGGAAAGGCCCGTCTTCCTGTTGCACCTCACAAAGTGCTCTTTTTAAAGAGACACCAGCCCTTCGCTCATGTGCCTGCTGCATTTACTGAGCAACACAACCTCACAGCATTTTTAAACAGTGAAGCACAGCCGGCAAATCTAGAGGCAGGGGAGGGGAGGAGACTGTGAGCTAGCCCACTGGGGGCCCTAAGCAGGACTATTTGAGGGGAGGGCACCCCCACAATGCCAAAACAGGCAAGTTCTTATAATAAGCAAAAGGGACGCTCCTTGAGCTGCTTGGGACCCTAAACAATTGCTTAGTCTCCTTATGCCTAGCACGGCACCATGCCTGGCCATCATGAAGGGAATTCCTAGCTCAGGGAGAGAAGGCAGCAGTCGCACAGCCAGGCGGCCACAAACCATTAGTCATCCTTGTCTTTGGTGGGAGGGAAGCACAAGTGTCATTGTCTGTTGTCATTATCTTAAATTAGCCAAACATAGCACTATAATTTATTTCGCTGGCAAGGTTGGTTACAATTACTTACTTATAGAGCTGACTGAAAAATTTCCGTCAAATCTGTTTTTCTATGAAAATTAGGTTTATGGACAATTTTTTTTTCCCCCCACAAAAATGTTTCTGCTTTCCATGAAAACAACAAATGTTTTTGTCAAAAACAGAATGCCCCAAAAGGGAAATAGTTTGATTCTGAAATGCTGCCATGATGACTCATGGGAGTTGTAGTTCAGGTCCCTTGTACTCCCATTTTCCCCAATGGGCCAGGCTCCCTGACCAGACTTCATCTCCCATGATCACTCTGAAATGCAGCTGCAATGCAACATATTTTCATTTTTGCTTGAACTATT